TTTAAACCCTAATATAAATCTTTCCAACTCTAGCTCTACGTCATTCAGTAGTATACACTTAGATATTCATATGCATGTATTGTCGAATAGAGTCTAAGAGTGTCTTTGTAGGGTTAACTGGGCATTACCAATCTGTCTGTCTTAGATTTTCATAGAGGGATAGAGGTGGGTTGGTGGATTTGGGTGTATTTGCAAATCAATCATATGCCGTATTATTTGCCACAAGCCAACACAGGTCATGCGAGATAGTTTGAAAGTGAGATAAAGTGGGTTTTACCTTTTTAGACGATTTTTGTTTTTTTTTATGTTTAGGGTTCTAAATGGGTAAAGAGTTGGAGACAGAGATATACATAGAGATCATTTGAGAACATAAAAGTAAGTTTGTGAGTGTTTGTAAGTGATGTTATTTTATACATTTATATATATATATATATATATATATATATATATATATATATATATATATATATAATGATGTTAAAGGAATCTGATGAGTGTCATACACGCAACGAATTGTACGTGCACTAGAGGATTAATCACAAGAGGAAACAAACTAACTACTTTGCTGAGGTGGAGCTCGTGGATTGGCTGAGAGAGATCAAGACATGCGTGCTGAAGACTTAAAGATGAAGCTAACTTCTCTGAGGTGTATTAAAGGAGTAGCTACTTTCAGTTAGGGTCAAGAGAGAGAAACGTATTGTATTCAAAATACAGAAAGAGAGAGAAATCAGAGAGAGAAGGATTAAAATGTAGAAATTTTGATTGTAGAAAATGTGAGTTGTTTTGATCTCTTCGTTGATTCTACTTTGTAAAACTCTTGTTCATATTGATTACATAAAGATCTTGTTTACCCTTCAATTGATTGTGTTACTGAATTATAGTTGAATTATTCGATTTCCAGATCCAATTCTCACGCTGGAATTCATGCGCGCATAATTTGGATGTTCTATTTGCTTTGTTTCATGCATGAATTGCGCTCAATTGTGGTTTGAACTTCGATTCTCAACACATATAAAGAGTGGAGTTGAAATAAAACACTTAGTTGCAAACATCAAGTGTAGCACAATAATATATAGGATTTTGTTCGTCCCATTTTAGAACAAAGATACATCTGCTCAACAATATTTCACAACTCCTACATACTTTTTAAATTTATATTTCAATGCACAAAGTTCTTCACATTTCTATCATATATAATATATAACGGGAAAAATACAGTTTTCGTCCCTCACGTTAGCATCAATTTCATATTTAGTCCATCATGTTCACAAAAACAACACTTGGTGCCTCATGTATCAAAAATTCAACACTTTTAGTCAATTCCGTCAAATTCCCATTAAAACTAATGGAATCCATCGTATGCCCATCGTAAATTGGCGGAAATGACCAAAAGCGTTATATTATTGAAACATGAGGGACCAAGTGTGTATTTTGTGAACATAGGGGACCAAATGTGAAATCGGTGGAAATTTGAGAGACGAAAACTGTAATTTTCCCAATATATAATATATAAGTTGCATGAACTTAATAAACATACTGACTGGCAAGTGCAAGAAGAGGAACAGCTCTATGAATCGCGAGCCCGGGAAGTTCGCCCATGTCTAAATCTTCCACATCATCAGGCAATTTCCAGTCGAATTCCCTGACAAGATTCGCCAACAAGAACTCGTCAGTAACAATAGCGTACGAAATTCCAGGGCAGCCCCTTCTTCCGGCTCCAAACGGGATAAGCTCAAAATCCAGGCCCTGATAATCCACCCTGGAATCCAAAAACCTGTCGGGATCAAACTTCTCCGGCTCATTCCAGCTGGCAGGGTCCCGGCCAATTGCCCAACCATTAACAATCACCATTGTTCCGGCTGAAATATCGTACCCCATAACTTTTACGTCTTTTCGTGCTACCCGAGGTACTAGCAGTGGGATCGGTGTGTGGAGGCGGAGAGTTTCTTTTATTACAGCTTTTAGATAAGGCATCTTTTCCAGGTCGTTCTCGGTTATTGTGTCGTTTTTGTCTTTAACCACTTGTCGTACTTCGTGTTGTAATTTTTGCATGATTTGAGGGTGTCGTAAGAGTTGCGTCATTGCCCATTCTAGAACCGTTGATGTAGTGTCGGTTCCAGCTGCAAATACATCCTGTAGAATATATATATATATATAGAACAAGAAAGAATGTTGTGAATATACATAGATGAAGTAGAAATGTATGTATATATATGTATGTATTATAAATAGGTGTCCTGTTGTAACTCATTAATGGTTATACACACAAACTACTCTGTTTTTATAACACGAAATTTCGCTTTAGCATAAACAAAGATATGCTTTTGAAAAGAACAAGAAAAAGAAAGCCTTTGAAATAACGAGCAAAAAAGAGAAGGACAAAATGAACTTCGCCCCCTATAAAATTTTCATTTTCGCACTTCTCCCCTATAAAAATTCTAAAAGAGACAACGCCCCTTCGAAATATTATTTTCGTTGCACTTTTCCCAAAATCCCTATTATACTTCTTGTATCTAACGGTCCACCAAGCACAAACACAATTTCTAAAGCAAACATTAGGGATGTTTCTCCTAAATTTTGTGCTCTCATATATAATTGAGATCATAATCTTCAATTAGCAAGATATTACTGTTATCCCAGAGTGAGGCACATAAACCTTGGCTCAAAATTCGTTGACCCAAAAATGGGAAAAATACGGTTTTTGTCCCTCAAGTTTGTACCGATTTCACATTTGGTCCTCCATGTTTATAAAAAACACAGTTAGTTCCTTATGTTTTAAAAATTCAACATTTTTAGTCATTTCCGTCAATTTCCCGTTAAAACTAACGGAATCAAGCGTGTTACCATCACTGTCTTAACTAACGGACTAATGGTAAATAGACGGAAATGACAAAAAATGTTAAATTATTAGAACATGAGGGACCAAATGTGCTTTTTGTAAACATGAGGGGGCCAGATGTAAAATCGGTGCAAACTTGAGGGATGAAAACTGTAATTTCCCAACCCAAAAATCTTAGCTCAATTTTTGGAGGTAAACCATAAAATTGACAGACGAAGCTCGAAATTCATAAACCCAGATGAAAGAACACCAATTTTGCATTTCGTGAGTTAAAACACTAAAATAAATTTGGGGATTTCAGATGGGCGATGGAAAATTACGTATATACCCCAAAAGGATGAATATATACCGTTTAAGAAGACCCACATTTGGGGCAAAGTGCAACAAACAAAATATTTCAAAGGGGACTTGTCTATTTTTTAAATTTTCATGAGGAAATGTGCAAAAATGGAAAATATCTAGCGGGCGAAATGCATTTTGTCCAAAAAAGAACATATGTTTCCAAGAAAAATATACTTACAAGAATAATTGCTTTGACGCTGTCCCTGTCGATAGATACACCGGTACCGTTGTCCCGGTAAATTTCGAGCAAAATATCAAGAAAATTCTCTCCATGTTTTTCCTCACGATCACCATGCAGTAATTTCTTCGGATTTTCGATGCGCTCGCAAATCACTCCCTCGAAGAACTCATCCATTTCCCTCGCAACCTTATCGACTCTCGAATCAAACCCGTTAACCCGATTAATCCACGAAAGCATCGGAACGAAATCTCCGATATTAATTTTCCCGACAAGCTCCACGAACTCTTTCAACAGCCAAAGATACTTCTTGCCATTCTCCCCTTCACTATACTTTTTCCCAAAAGCTGATCGACAAACCACATCATTCGTAAACTCGGTAAACATCTGGCTCAAATCCACCGGATTCGAACGAGACGAAGATTCTCTTATCCTTTTCATCAAAAGGGCTGTTTCTTCTTCCCTAACGGAGTGGAAAGATTGAACCCTTTTGTTACTGAGCAGTTGAAGAACACATATACTCTTCAACTGCCTCCAGTATTCGCCGTACGGTGCAACCGATACGTCTTTACAATCGTATAGTAACCGTTTATTCACACTCGATTCAAGCCGATCGGAAAAGATGACGTCATGCGTTTTCATTATCTCTCGGGCTGAATCGGCCGACGAGACGATAAGCGTAGGTTTATTGCCGAAGTGGAGAAGCATGATCGGTCCGTATTTTTTCGCTAAGGATTGGAGATTGCGGTGAGGTAATAAGCCGAGCTGGTGGAGATTTCCGAGTATCGGTAGCTTCGGCGGTGACGGAGGCAAATGCTTTTTGTTGCCATAAGTTTTTTTGTACAGCCATTTTGTGATGTAAGAGATCAAGAATAAAGATAGGAGAGCTTGGATTATTAATGTGAAGGGATGGAATTGCATTATTTCTTGAATTTTTTGCTGTATGTGAAGATGGAATATGGACATGATTTAGTTATGTATATCTTATGGCAAATATTACAGTTTTTATCCCTCAAGTTTGCACTTATTGCACATTTGATCTCCTATGTTCATAAAAAATACATTTGGTCATCTATGTTTTAATAATTTAACGCTGTTGGTAATCTCCGTCAATTTACCGTTAGTATGTCAGTTAATTCATTGATGGACACACGCTTGATTTCATAGTTTTAACGGAAAATTGAGAGGAATAACTTAAAATGTTGAATTTTTTAAACAAGAGGGACCAAATGTGTTATTTGTGAACACAAGAACCAAATATGAATTATGTGTAAACTTGAGGGACAAGAACTTATATTTTTCTCATATGTTATGTTTTGTGCGTACGAGCTTATCTCAAAGTGTTTGTGCATGTGGGTGTCAAGTGTGTGGTGTGTGTTTGTTTGCTCATACAAAGAGCTGACTTGGTGCAAAATTGCCCAGAATTTCAAAAGTTGTTCCACTTGTTAGAAAGGAAATTTTCTGGCAAACTTATTATTATTATTAATATATATATATACGTGTGTGGGACTCGGCGAAAGGGGAATTAGATGTTACACCTGATTATTTACGCTGTGGTGGTTTTTAATCGTAAATTTAATTAAATAATCACTTATTAAGCACGCATATACATATGCATATGATTATGTGTAAATCTATGGTCGAAATTCATGCGGTCATCCGATGGAATTATGGGTGAATTAAGTTTTTGTTTATGGGTAAATTAAATTATTCCGAAGTGCAGATTAAAAAAAAAAAAAAAAATCATTTATTCTGAAGTCCCTTGTCCAGCTGTTGTCGTATCTAAAGTTGCAAAAGATGATTTGGTCTGTCCTAATAAATATATAATATTATTCTATTCTCGTGAATGGATATTGATGAATATATTGACAAAATGAGTTAATTAAATGTGGTGCACGTCGTTGTATGATGTTAACGTATCGAATGGATCCAACTAAGATAATAAAGAAATTTGTGCACATATTTTGATGGTATCATCATATCAAATATCTTTGATTTTTTTTTTTTTTTTTGTCGCATATTATAGAAAATACATTTCTTGATTTAAGTGGTGAAATAGAATAAAATATAGGAAAAAATAGCCAGACAGAAGAAAGGTGTAGTGCAGACAGAAAAAACCCTCCAAAGAAATAAAATTTTAATCGAAAATATCCAATGGATCAATACCCTTTGGATCAGAAATTTTGAAAATTATAGATTCACCCCAGAATTTTTGTTTGTCCCAAAATGAAGTTTTTAAAATTTTCAATTCAGTCCCTGATATTTTTATTAAAGCCCTCTCTCACATTGAAACCCAAAAACACAAAGTAATAATATTCTTAAATCTGCAACTAGCCACCATTTCCTTAGGAGTAAACCGCAAAAGTACCGCAAAAAAATCTGTGATAAATAAACTAGCAAAAAAACCCCGTGAATTTTTTTATATAGCACATTCGGTCAATTATTCATTTGAGTGTTGAATTGATATAAAAAGACACAAATACCCCAGAGTTTTAAAAATTAATAAATTCTTATATTTTACAAATATTTTAATTATTTTATTTTTGTTATATCTTAATTATAAAGGTACAATAGGGTCTTTAATTTATTTCTATTTTTATTACCTGAAAATGTCTGTATATATTTTAAATTATCCCTACATTAAAACAAAACTTAATATCCATTATTATGTATTTAAAATAACCTATAATTCATTTTATTACCAAATTTTTAATATTTTTTCAATTTAATTGTTCACAATTTCTTTAATAAGATTTTTATTTCTAAACAATCAAATTAAAAAGAAAAAAATATATACATATAAATACATTTTGAGGGACAATTTCGTCATTTCACGTCCAAAAATCAGCTACCAGCCGCACATCCAGCAAGTGAGCCACACGAAAGTCAACCAGGAAGTTTCTGTCTTTTACTAAATTTCTAGGAGGATTTTTGCTACTTTATTTATCACAGGTTTTTTTTTTTTGCTATTTGGAAATTACAAATTGGTATTTTTTGCATATTACTCATTTCCGTAGCCCTCCTCCATAGCCACCGCCATGTCACACACCATTTTTTAGATGTGCATTTTGAGGCAGCAAACTCCACCACCCCCGCCCCATCTTGTTTTCCCTCTATTCTCAATCGTTCCCGCCACGCATTCACTTTTCCTCGATCGCTGGCGCCACCGTAGCATCACTTCCGACGAGCAGTCGCACAAACAGCGAGTGAATGACACGGACGAGCGCGAAGGGGTTGTTTGCCTTTGACCACCGATTACAAAGTTGTTTTTGCTACTTAATTCTTTTCCAAGGGGTTTTTTGACCTTTACGAATTCCACATTTTTTTTCTGCATTTTACTCATAATAAAACAAGTAATAAGCAAGTAAATTTGAGATAAATGATTTCCTCAATTAAACATAGTAGTACTGTTTGGCAACTGCAACAAGAGGAACAGCCCTGTGAATAGCAACACCAGGGCGTTCACTCATATCCAAATCCTCCACGTCATCAGGCAACGCCCAATCGAATTCCCGCACAAGATTCGCCAACAAGAAACCATTAGTAGCCGTAGCGAACGAAATTCCAGGACAACCCCTTCTTCCGGCGCCAAACGGGATAAGCTCAAAATCCAGGCCCTGGTAATCCACCCTGGAATCAAAAAACCTGTCGGGATCAAACTTTTCCGGCTCATGCCAGCTGGCAGGGTCCCTGCCGATGGCCCAAACATTAGTCATCACCAATGTTCCGGCTGAAATATCGTACCCCATAACTTTTACGTATTTTCTTGCTACCCGAGGTAGCAATGGGATCGGTGCGTGGAGGCGGAGAGTTTCTTTTATTACAGCTTTGAGATAAGGCATCTTTTCCAGGTCGTTCTCCGTTATTATGCCGTTTTTGTCTTTAACTACTTCTCGTACTTGGTGTTGCAATTTTTTCATGATCGTAGGGTTTCGTAAGAGTTCCGTCATTTCCCATTCTAGAAGTGTCGACGTGGTGTCGGTTCCAGCTGCAAATACATCCTGTCGAAGAATACATGTGACAAGAAAAAAATGTATATTGTAATTATGTGATTAGAAGGATAAATTATATTTTCAGTTACTATACTTAGCACCTAAAACGATTTCAGTTCTCGAACAATTTTTGACCATGATAAAAATGCCATTTTTTTACACTTTTGTCAAGCCGTCGTCAACGTTCTTGGTTACAATGGACGAAATTGTCACGTGAGGTGCACACTTTCAATTTCAAAAAAAATAGGAATATATTGGGGCGAAATCAAGAATATATGTAAGATGGGTGTTGGAATGGGTGACACGCGCAAAACACGCAATATTTGCTGTCGAATTTAACTCCACAAAAAGACAGCCGACGAAAACTGTAAAGGACATGTCGACAGTAAATACTAAAATCGTGATCTCAATTGTATAGAGACGAAAATCGAATAATTGATATAGCATAAGGACCAAATATTGTAATTATCCTGACATCACGTGATGATTCTGTCCATTTTAATCAAGAAGTTGACGGCATGACGGAAAATGTAAAAAAAAACGGCAAGTTTAAAGACTAATATTGCGGCCAAATTTGTTTGAGAACTGAAATCAATTAAGGTACTAGTATAGGACTAAAAATGTAATTAACTATCCTATAAAAACTAAGAGTTTATTTCATTTAATACCCCTAAAGTTATATTAAATTACTAAAAAAACTCTTCATGTTATAAATATTAGCAAAAATCCCCCTATGATGTATATATTTTAGCACACAACCCCCTAAATTGTGAGTTTTTAGGGGTGAAGTTTTCAAAACAAGATGCATCTCATGAGGATTTTGTAAATATTTACGTACGGAAAGCTTTTTTTAGCAATTAGACGAAAAAAAAAACAGGGGTGTTGAATGCAATAAACCCGAAAACCAAATGTACTTACAAGAATTATTGCTTTGATACTGTCCCTGTCAATCGTTACTCCGGTGGAATTATTCTGATAAATGTGAAGCAAAATATCAAGAAAATTATCTCCATGTAATTTCTTCGGATTTTCCATGCGCTCGCGTATCACTCCCTCGAAGAATTCATCAAATTCTCTCGCAACCTTGTCAACCCTCGCATCGAAACCGTTGACTCGATTAATCCACGAAAGCATCGGAACAAAATCTCCGATACTAATAGTCCCCAAAAGCTCCAACAATTCCTTCAACAGTAAAATAAATTTCTTGCCATTTTCCACTGCACTATACTTCTTCCCGAAAGCTGACCTACAAACCACGTCATTAGTAAACTGAGTAAGCATCTCACTCAAATCGATCGAACCGGTGGGATATTCTCTTTTGATCCTTTTCATCAAAAGGGCTGTTTCTTCCTCCCTGATGTAATGAAAAGATTGAACCCTTTTGTTACTAAGCAGTTGAAGAACACATATACTCTTCAGCTGCCTCCAGTATTCGCCGTACGGAGCGATGGATACGTCTTTACAATTGTAGAGTAGCCGCTTACCGACACTTGATTCAAGCCGATCGGAAAAGATGACGTCATGCGTTTTCATTATCTCTCGGGCTGAATCGGCCGACGAGACGATAAGCGTAGGTTTATTGCCGAAGTGGAGAAGCATGATCGGTCCGTATTTTTTCGCTAAGGATTGGAGATTGCGGTGAGGTAATAAGCCGAGTTGGTGGAGATTTCCGAGTATCGGCAGCTTTGGTGGTGATGGAGGCAAATTCTTTTTGTTGCCATAAGTTTTTTTGTACAGCCATTTTGTGATGTAAGAGATCAAGAATAAAGATAGGAGAGCTTGGATTATTAATGTGAAGGGATGGAATTGCATTGTTTCTTGAGTTTTTTGTTGTGAGTGAAGTTGCAATTTGGACATGGTTTAGTTATCTATATCTTATCTGTAAAATTACAGTTTTCATCCCTCAAGTATGCACTCATTTCACATTTGGTCCCATATGTTTACAAAAAATACATTTGGTCTCTCACGTTTCAATAATTTAACGCTTTTAGTAATCTCCGTCAATTTACCGTTAGTATGTCAGTTAACTCATTGATGGGCACACACTTGGTTCCGTTAGGTTTAACGGAAAATTGTCGGAAATGACTAAAAATGTTGAATTTTTTAAACACGAGGGACCAAATGTGTTTTTTGTGAACACAGGTTGTCAAATATGAAATCGGTGCAAACTTGAGGGACGAAAACTGTATTTTTCCATTATCTTATATTTTGTGCTTACGAGCTTATCTCCAAGTGTTTGTGCATGTGGGTGTCAAGTGTGTGGTGTGTGTTTGTTTGCTCATACAAAGAGCTGACTTGTGCAAAATTGCCCAAAATTTCAAAAGTTGTTCCACTTGTTAGAAAGGAAATTTTCTGGCAAACAGATTATTATATATATATATATATATATATATATATATATATATATATATATATGGGACTCGGTGAAAGGAGAATTAGATGTTACACCTGATTATTTATGCTAGGTAATTTTTTATCGTAAAATTTGATTAAATAACATCTTATTAAGCACACATATACATGTGCGTGTGATTATTTGTAAATCTACGGTCGAAATTCATTCAGTATAAATAATCTAGTGCACCATCCGATGGAATTATGGGTGAATTAAGTTTTTGTTTAGGGGTGAATTAAATTATTCCGAAGTGCAGATTAAAAAAAAAAATCATTTATTCTGAAGTCCCTTGTCCAGCTGTTGTCGTATCTAAAGTTGCAAAAGATGATTTGGTCTGTCCTAATATTTATATAATATTATTCTATTCTCGTGAATGGATATTGATGAATATGTTAGACAAAAAGAGTTAATTAAATGTGGTGCACATCGCTGTATGATGTTAACGTATCGAATGGATCCAACCAAGATAACAAAGAAATTTGTGCACGTATTTTGATGGATATCATCATATCAAATATCTTTTTTTTTTTTTTTTTTTTTTTATAGAAAATACATTTCTTGATTTAAGTGGTGAAATAGAATAAAATATAGGAAAAAATAGCCAGACAGAAGAAAGGTGTAGTGCAGACAAAAAACCCTCCAAAAGAAATAAAATTTTAATCGAAAATATCCAATGGATCAATACCCTTTGGATCAGAAATTTTGAAAATTATAGATTCACCCCAGAATTTTTGTTTGTCCCAAAATGAAGTTTTTAAAATTTTCAATTCAGTCCCTGATATTTTTATTAAAGCCCTCTCTCACATTGAAACCCAAAAACACAAAGTAATAATATTCTTAAATCTGCAACTAGACACCATTTCCTTTCCTTATGAGTAAACCGCAAAAAGTACTCATGTGTAAGCTTCAGCAGCAAAAAAATCCTTGCGATAAATAAACTAGCAAAAAACCTCCCTGTGAATTTTTTTATATAGCACATTCGGCCCATTACTTATTTGAGTGTTGAATTGATATAAAAAGACACATATACCCACAGGGTTTTGCAAATTACTAAATTCTTATATTTTAAAAATATTTTAATTATTTTATTTTTTGTTATTATCTTAATTATAAAGGTACAATGGGGTGTTTTATTTATTTCTATTTTTATTATCTGGTAATTTATGTATATATTTGAAATTATCCCTACATCAAAACAAAACTTAAATTCCATTATTATGTACTTAAGAAAACCTATACTTCATTTGATCACCAAATTTTTAATAATTTTTCAATTTAATTGTTTACTAATTTTTTAATAATATTTTAATTTTTAAAGAATCAAATTAAAAAGAAAAAAACATATATAAATACATTTTGAGGGACAATTTCGTCATTTTACGTCCAAAAATCAGCTACCAGCCGCACATCCAGCAAGTGACGAAAGTTAACCAGGGGGTTTTTGCCTTTGACTAAATTTCAAGGAGAATTTTTGCTACTTTATTTATCACAGGGTTTTTTTTTGCTATTTGGAAATTACACATAGGTATTTTTTTCATATTACTCATTTCCTTAGCCTCCTCCATAGTCACCGCCATGTCGAACACCATTTTAGATGTGCATTTTGAGGCAGCAAACTCCACCACACCTGCCCCATCTTGTTTTCCCTCTATTCTCAATCGTTGCCGCCACCGCATTTTCACTTTTCCTCGATCGCTGGCGCCGCCACAGTATCACTTCCGACGAGCAGTCGCACAAACAGCGAGCGAATGAAACCGACGAGCGCGAAGGGGTTGTTTGCCTTTGACTACCGAATACAAGGTGGTTTTTGCCACTTATTTTTTTTCCAAGGGGTTTTTTTGACCTTTACCAATTACAAATGTTTTTTTTTTTTTTTTTTTTTTGCATTTTTACTCATTAAACAAAGGGAAAATTGCACATCACCCCCTAGAAATTTCTATTTTTTACACTTTACCCCCTAAAAAATTTAAAAAGTGAATGCCCCCTTCAAAATGTTATTCTTGTTGCACATTGCCCCCATAGCAAAATTTCGATGGATGGCATTTGAGTATTTTTGTTGCACATTGCCCCTTTATATATTATATTTGTTGCGCGTTACCCCTTAAAAACACTATATTTTTGCACATGGCCCCTTTAAAATGTTATTTTTGTTGCACAATGCCAACCAAAAAAATGGCTTCTGGGGCAAAGTGCAACCAAGATAATATTTTAAAGGGGGATTGTCCAGTTTTTGAATTTTTAGGGGGGAAATGCAAAAATGAAAAATTTGTAGGGGTGAATTGCATTTTGTCCTAAAACAAATAAAATGCAAGTAAATATAAGATTAATTATTTCATCAATTAAACATAGTAGTAGCTTAGTGTTTGGCAACTGCAACAAGAGGAACAAGCTTGTGCATGACAACCCCAGGGCCTTCACTCATGTCCAAATCCTCCATGTCATCAGGCAACGCCCAATCAAATTCCCGCACAAGATTCGCCAACAAGAAACCGTTAGTAGCCATTGCAAACGAAATTCCAGGGCAGCCCCTTCGTCCGGCGCCAAACGGTATCAGCTCAAAATCCAGGCCCTGATAATCCACCCTGGAATCCAAAAACCTGTCGGGATCAAACTTCTCCGGTTCGTTCCAGCTGGCAGGGTCCCTGCCAATGGCCCAACCATTAGTCATCACCAATGTTCCGGCTGAAATATCGTACCCCATAACTTTTACGTCTTTTCTCGCTACCCGAGGTACTAGCAATGGGATTGGTGCGTGGAGGCGGAGAGTTTCTTTTATTACGGCTTTCAGGTAGTGCATTTTTTCCAGGTCGTCCTCGGTTATTATGCCGTTTTTGTCTTTAACTGCTTGTCGTACTTCGTGTTGCAATTTTTTCATGATTGTAGGGTTTCGTAAGAGTTCGGTCATTTCCCACTCTAGAAGTGTCGATGTGGTGTCGGTTCCAGCTGCAAATACATCCTGTCGAAGAATACACATGACAAGAAAATAATGTATGTTGGAATATGTGATTAGAGGGATAATTAAATTACATTTTCAGTTACTATACTTAGCACCTAAAATGATTTCAGTTTCGAACAATTTTTGACCATGATGGATGAACATGCCACTTTTTTACACTTTTGTCAGGCCGTCAACTTTCTTGGTTACAATGGATGAAATTGTCACGTGAGGTGCACACCTTGAATTTGAACTTTTGAAAAAAAATTAGGAATCAAGTGAAATGGGGGCAAAATAGGAAATATGTAAGATGGGTGTTGAAATGGGTGACACGTGCAAAATACGCAAGTTTTTCTGTCAAATTTAACGCCACAAGTAGACAGCCAACAAAAACTGTAAAAGACGTGTTGAGTGTCAACAGTAAGGACTAAAATGTGATCTCAATTGTATAAGGATGAAAATCGAATAAATGATATAGCATAAGGACCAAATATTGTAATTATCCTGGCACCACGTGATAATTCTGCCCATTTTAATCAAGAAGTTGATAGCATGACAAAAAATGTTGGGCGGGGGTTGGCCAAATTTGTTTGAGAAGTGAAATCCATTAAGATGCTGGACGGTTTACTTGATGCCACACTCGGTAAAATATATCGACTGATTAAATAATTGTCTGTTTGTACGTAATCACACACACTCATGTGTATATGTGTTTAGTGGATAGTTATTTAACCAGATCAATAGTTAAAAATCATCTTATTTATATGACCCGGTGCAGCATCTCAATAACCAGTGTAGGACTAAAAATGTAATTATTATCCCGAGATTATAAGTTACTTAAGTACACTAATCCCATAAAAACTACCCCCAAATTATATTGAATTGCTAAAAAACTCTTCGTATTTTAATATTAGCAAAAATGCCCATATGGTGTATTTATTTTAGCAGACAACCTCCTAAATTGTGAGTTTTAGGTGGTAGTTTTCTAAAATAAGATGCATCACGAGGATTTTGCTAATATTTACACACGGAAAGATTTTTTAGCAATTAGACGGAATAACAGAGGTGTTGAATGTAATAGATTCTAAAACCAAATGTACTTACAAGAATTATTCCTTTGATACTGTCCCTGTCAATCGCTACTCCGGTGGAATTATTCTGATAAATGTGAAGCAAAATATCAAGAAAATTATCTCCATGTAATGTCTTTGGATTTTCCATGCGCTCACGTATCACTCCCTCGAAGAATTCATCAAATTCTCTAGCAACCTTACCAACTCTCGCATCGAAACCGTTGACTCGATTAATCCACGAAAGCATCGGAACAAAATCTCCGATACTAATAGTCCCCAAAAGCTCCAACAATTCCTTCAACAGTAAAATAAATTTCTTGCCATTTTCCACTGCACTATACTTTTTTCCAAAAGCTGATCTACAAACCACATCATTGGTAAACTGAGTAAGCATCTCACTCAAATCCATCGAACCGGTGGAATATTCTCTTTCGATCCTTTTCATCAAAAGGGCTGTTTCTTCTTCCCTGATGTAATGAAAAGATTGAACCCTTTTGTTACTAAGTAGTTGAAGAACACATATACTCTTCAACTGCCTCCAGTACTCGCCGTACGGAGCGATGGATACATCTTTACAGTTGTAGAGTAGCCGCTTACCGACACTTGAGTCGGGCCGATCGGAAAAGACGAGATCGTGGGTTTTCATTATCTCTCGGGCTGCATCTGCAGATGAAACAATGAGAGTAGGTTTACTTCCGAAGTGGAGAAGCATGATTGGTCCGTATTTTTTCGCTAAGGATTGGAGATTGCGGTGAGGCAATGAGCCGAGTTGGTGGAGATTTCCGATTATCGGTAGCTTCGGTGGCGATGGAGGTACATTCTTGTTGTTGCCATAAGATTTTTTGTACAACCATTTTGTGATGTAAGAGATCAAGAATAAAGATATGAGAGCTTGGATTATTAATGTGAAGGGATGGAATTGCATTGTTTCTTGAATTTTTTTGTAGTTAATTTGTTTTTCTTTGAAATTTTGGTGGAGGTTTGTGTGGAAGTTTTTTGGATCAAAGATTTCATGTCCATAAGTATACAACTTAATCCCACTTTACACCCTTAAAATAGAGTTTTTTGACACATTGTACCCTCAGAAAAAAAAGGCAATAGCATTTTGCACCCTCAAAACATAACCAATCGTACACAATGAGACGTATTGATGAGTGAAAAAAATACCACTAAACATTTTAAATTACCTTCATTAGTTTTAAAAGTTCATTCGGTGTTCATTATGCATGATTTATTCTGTTTTAATGGTGTAAAGTGCTATTAGTTTTTTTCGAGGGGTGTAGAGCGTCACAATGCTATATTTTAAGAGTGCAAACTGGGATTAAGCCAGAAGTACATAGGGATATATAAATAAGTAAAAATAGTGGCAAAGACACCCTTATGTGATGGTTACCAGCTCACTTCTCTTCAGATTTTATTTGCATTATACAATACAAATATTATTTTTAATCACTCATTCCAGATGTAAGAAAAATATTACTTATTTTTTTAGAAATACTGAATGTTTAGCATGTTATATTATAAAATTAATTTATTGATTGAGATATATAGGAAAACGAAAGGACGAAAGTATAGGAGAAATTGTCCAGACAGGTAGATAAAGAGGTACATATATCATGGCAATCGTGTCTGCAATAAATAATAGTATGACAACTACTTGATTCAATTAAAAAAATGAAAAAAGAGTTGAATCCGTGATTTATGCCACATTTTTTAATATTAATGTTTCGAAAGCTGGACCGGACATTTCAAATATTATATAAACTATAATCCAAAATAATATATTTTGTAATTTCAAAAAAAAGTTATTTTGAATTTTATTTTTTTTGTCAATTGAGCAGTAAAAAGACGTCATTTTAGCTCTCTTGTTTGTTTAGGCAATGTTTGGAACCATTTCCATTTTGTTTTCATTGTTTCCCCAAAACAAAATGAAATTTATTACACTTTTCAAATCATTTTCTCAAAACAATTTCAAAAGTTTCTCTCTCCTTCAGACATGATGTGACTGCTACAGTAAAAAATGTCTCCACTAAAAAACAAATAAACATCACTTCATCTTTCAATTTTTTTCTTCAAAAATACCTTTTTCTTACACCTTTAAACATGATTTGACTTCTACAGTGAATTTTGTCTCCTTCCAAAATACAAACAAACATTACTTTCATTCTCAAATTATTCCCCCAAAACATATTTCCTCAAAATGAAATCAAAATAAGATCCAAAACGCTTCCAAACATTGCTTTTTTTGTTAAAAGGGCATCATGTTGGACAAAAAAATCTGATATTCAGTTGTGTTACAGTTCAAACGCCCGGTCTGGTCCGAATCTGAAAACACTGGTCAGTCAATATATCTAGCTTAATACATGAATCATAATTCATAACTTATTATATGAATCAATTCAAAGAGGGTAAATAACACTTAACCCCTGTAGTAACAAGCTTTTGTAGATGAATTACTTGTGCTCGTAATAGGGGTGGTAGACGAGCCGAGCTGGCTCGCGAACGACGAGGGCTCGACAAAGGCTCGAACTCGAGCTCGGATTTTTCGAGCTCGAGCTCGAGCTCAAATTTAGTTGTTCGACAGCTCGCGAGCCGGCTCGCGAGCTGCCTTCCTTTTTTTTTAATTATATATATATATATATATATATATATATATATATATATATATATATATATATATATATATTATTCTTATTATTATTATTATTATTATCTAAATATAAATATTCTATAATAATAAATATTTCTAGTATTTAAATAGAAACAAATCTATATTACTTAAATAATTCATAATAATATAAAATATTATAATAATAATAATAATAATAATAATAGAAAAATTAAAAATATATATATAACTAGAGTTCATTATTTATTTAATAATTTTTTTTATTTTCCTATAAATAATTTTTAATAAAAAATTAAATGATTTTAATAAAAAAAATTAAATAATAAAAAAATTAAAAATTAAAGGAGCTCGAGCTCGAGCCAAAAAAAAATTGGCTCGATGAGCTCGAGCTGGCCAAAAGAGCCGAGCTAGCTCGGCTCGAGCTCGGCTCGTTCCCACCCCTAGCTCGTAATATCAACACATAACCCTTTGTGGTTTAGGGTAGATTCTGTTAGTTTTTTTGTCAAACTCAACTGCATGTGTCAAACTCAAAATATGATTTTTTTTTTTGCAGATGACACCCTTGTGCTCGTGATAGCAGCACATAACTCTCTTGTGGTTTAGGGGTAGCTTCCGTTAATTTTTCCGTCAAACTCAACCGCATTAGTCAAACTTCAAAGTATCTTTTTTTTTTTGCAAATGACCCCCTTCTGCTTACATTTTCTCTTTCATTCTTGTAGAGACCCCTATCCTCTGTGCTTACATTTTTTCCTTTTATTTGCACATAACCCCCTTGAAATTTGAATAAACATGTTAAGTTTGACGGAAAAACTAACGAAAACTACCCCCTAAACCACAAGGGAGTTATGTGCTGATATCACGAGCACAAGGGTGTCATCTGCAAAAACTTGTAACTACTGGGGGTTTAAATAATATTTACCCATTCAAAAAACACATTCATGTATTATTCTTCCAAATCCATGAATCTAACTCATTAATCCAACAAGCATAAATCTTGAAAGCATTATAAATGTTTCCCATTTTGCAATTTATTCAATTTCTTTGTGCACAAACTTTTAATTATTACAATCTCCATCACATCTAGAAATCAGAACAAGGAGTTGCAACAGCCAAGAGAGGATTCTTCCTATGAGTGGTAACACCAGCTTGTTCAGTCATGTCCAAACCCTCACATGTTGTCCCCTTAGGCAACTCCCACTCAAACTTCTGCACAACATTCGCAAGCATAAGTTCGATCCCCGCCATAGCAAACGTAACCCCCGGACACCCCCTTCTCCCAGCACCGAACGGAATCAGCTCAAAATCGAGACCCTTAAAGTCAACCGAAGAAGTCAAGAATCTCTCGGGCATAAACTTCTCCGGTTCATTCCAAGACTCGGAATCCCTCCCAATTGCCCACGTGTTGGTTATGATCATTGTCCCGATTGAAATATCGTAGCCCATTACTTTAACGTTTTCCCGCGCCACACGAGCCAAAAACGGGATTGGAGGATGGAGGCGTAGCGTTTCTTTCACAACGGCTTTCAAATAGTGCATTTTGCTCAAGTCGTTTTCGGTTATGACGTTTTTGCCCCTCGTGATTTCTCTTACCTCGTTTTGCAAGTTCTTGAGGGCTATAGGGTGTCTTAGGAGTTCGGACATTGTCCATTCTAGAGTTGCGGATGTTGTATCGGTTCCCCCAGCAATTATATCCTGGTTTTATTGCATTAGATATATTAGTACTTAGAACAATGTTTTAAAAAACTACAATTATGTGAGTATATTAGGAGAACCTCAAAAAACACATGTTTGGGTGTAAAGAAAATGACTTTCCACAAAATATAACAATTTCAACACCATTTTCCTTAGGAATCAAATATGCTAGAAATTTTAACTTTCTTTATTTTCATTTGCATTTGCATTTTTCATTCTCCTCATTTCAAAATTCATGAACTAGACATAGCCTTGATTAATATTCTTTAAAGTATTTCAAGGTTGGGATATCAATTACTTCCATGAATCAAAAACACAAGTCTCTATGTTTATTCCTGTCTATGTGATATTACACCTGATGTATTTCATCGGGTACTGTTGAACCGTAGATCTACATAAACAAGCAAATAACTACCCATAAGTACACATATAGATGGGTGTGTGTTATTATGTGTAAATCAGAGGTTAAAGATCACCCGATGTATTTTATTTAGTGTATAGCATATGCATAACCATTTGGTCCTATATATGTGTGTGTGCGCGCGCGCGCGAGAGAGAGAGAGAGAGATCTGACCAGAATAATAGCTTTGATACCATCTCTATCAACAGAAACATCACTCTTATCATCCTTGTAAAGACTCATCAAAATATCGACAAAATTATCCCTGCTTTCATCCCGACTTATTTCCACCCCTTCATTATTCATATGTTCTTGAATCACCATCTCCAAGAAACCATCAACTTCTCTCGCAACCCTATCAACTTCCCTATCGAAACCGTTAACATAATTAATCCACGAAAGCCACGGTATAAATTCTCCGATACTCATACTCCCCATAAGCTCCAAAACCTTCCTCAAAAGCATCAGAAACCTCTTCCCACCTTCCCCTTCACTATACTTCCTCCCGAAAACCGCTCTGCAAATCACATCGTTCGTCACCGACACGAACAACTCGCTCAAATTCACAAGCTCTAAATTCTTCGACGATTCATTAATCTTTTCCATCAAAAGAGCAGTTTCTTCCTCCCTGATGAAACCGAAAGACTGAACTCTATTACCGCTTAAAAGCTGGAGAACGCAGATGCTTTTCAGTTTCCTCCAGTACTCGCCGTACGGTGCGACCGATATATCTTTGAGGTCGTAGAAAAGCCGCCTCGTCGTTCTCGTGTATGGCTTATCGGCGAAGATCAGGTCGTTTGTTTTCATGATTTCTTTCGCTGCATTAGCTGATTGGACTATAACCGCGGGCGTATTGCCAAAGTGGATAAGCATTACGGGGCCGTGTTTCGTGCCTAACGATTGGAATGATCGGTGAGCCAACGTGCTGAGTTGATGGAGGTTGCCTAGTACTGGCAGCTTTGGTGGTGATGGAGGGAGTTTTTTGTTGCTAATTAGCGACGGATTTTTGTACAGCCGTTTCGCGACGAAATAGAGTGAGAGTAAACCGAGTAGCGAAAGCAGAAAGGGGTGGAACCGAAACCCGTCGAGAATTTGTTGCTGATTGAAACTCAACATTGTTGTGATGTGTCTTGGTCTGAAAAAAGAAAAGTTGTTGATTAAAATGTTTCGAGAAAATTAAGGAGTTGATGTTTGTATAATTTTTGGTTAAGTCAACTTGGAATAAGTTGGTTCGAGGGAGATATTAAATTAATGGGTAATTAAGATTATATTACAGGGGC